ATGAATACATTCGTTTAAGTTGTTCGTACTTGAATTAGTTTTCGCTTCATTGCCATTCGAGATGTTAAAACTCATTTAGTGGATGGTTTATAGTTTGTAAAGGTTTCCTTGAAGAGTTTGGCTAACGTGAAGTCGGTATTAAATGCTTTATCTGTATAGGATTTGAGTTTCTCTTAAAACTTTAGTGTTGTTGTTCTAATTGTTCAAGCTCTCGTGAATGTTGAAAATCAGAGTAGCGCAATGGAAGCGTGGTAGTTCTATTGCTTAGTATAGTTGTGAAGAAAATTCTCTTGTTTTTATGAAAATTTTAGGTAGGCTTAGTAACGGTCCCTCTTTGGTAATGGTGAAATTCCTGGGGCGTTACACGTTGTTCCTTGATAAGTATGTTGTTTGTGCGTGACCCTTCAAATAAGGGCTGCTTACTGAGTACTGTGGTTGTACTCATCCCTCTTTTTCCCCTCCAGTTTGCAGGTATCGAGCTAGCTCTTGGGATGGTGATGGCGAGGAGGAGGCTTGATCGGAAAGACCATTAGCTATGTTGTGTGCAATTAATTTCTTTTAGTTAGGATAGTTGTGGCCAATTAATGTTGTAGTCGAGTTGGTAGTGGCTAGTTTTGTTTAGTTGTATTGTCTAAATGATGTTGTAAGGTTGCCGATTCATTATTCTTTTAGAGCATTAATTTTGTTAGCTTCTTGAACTACGGGATTGTAATCTACTTAGGATATTTATGAATACATTTGTTTAAGTTGATCGTACTTGAATTAGCTTTTGCTTCATTGTCATTCGAGATGTTAATATTCATTTAGTGGATGGTTTATAGTTAGTAAGGTTTCCTTGAAGAGTTTGGTTAATGTGAAGTCGGTATTAAATGGTTTATCTATATAGGATGTGAGTTTCTCTCAAAACATTGGTGTTGTTGTTCTAATTGTTCAAGCTCTCGTGAGTGTTGGAAATCAGGGTAGCGCAGCAGAAGCGTAGTAGTTTTATTGCTTAGTGTTGTTGTGAAGAAAATTCTCTTGTTTATGCGAAAATTTTAGGTAGGCTTAGTAACGGTCCCTATTTGAAAATGGTGAAATTCCTGGGGCGTTACAGTTAGTCTCGAATCAGAAGATTTTCATTTAATTTTTTAAATTAAACTTTAATTAAATTATATATATCGGGCTCCGTGTGGTTGGCTTTATCTTAAGTTGGGATGAGTTTCTTTTGCTCTTGGACTTGATTATGTTAAGCTTTTTGGGTTGGTTTGGATTTTAAAACAAAGGAAAAGAAAAAAAATAAAAAAGAAAAAAAGAAAGAAAAGAAAACAAATCAAAAAGAGGGCTTCATCTTGTTCTTCTCCTTCCCTTTGCCCTAGCCGCCACCCACCCCACCCTCTTCTTCTCTTCTCCTCTTCCGGTGACGTTCCTCCAGCCGACGACCCTCCCCTACGTACGACGATGTTCCTTCGCGGCGGTGCGATTTCTCGACAGCAGCTGCGGCACAACGACCTGCAGCAGCCACGATCTTCCTTGGCGTCTCCCCATCCATGTTCGGCCGCACGACAGAACACCCGCGACCCGAATCATTGGCAGCAGCGAGTTGGGCATTCTCTGCGACGATGTTATCAGCAAACGGCGTTCTCCATATCTGGCGCCACCCCTCCCTCTGAGCGGCGTTTTGCAGCGTTCTAGTGATCTAGCCTTCGCGGTGGCGCGTCTTCGCCGAACACCTTGATCCGATTTCAGATCCGGTGTTCCTCCCTCAGTAGTCGCGACGTTCCATCAGCAACCCAACAGTGGCGCACCTCGACACATAGTTTCACAAACACCTGCTGTTTTCTTTCGGTGATTCAGAAACAACGGGTTTCGGTGACATTCGACGCTTACCCATCGTTGTTTTAAGCTCGACAAGTGATACCCACCCCTTCAACGTTGTTTCGGCACTGACCCACCTCTTTCCGGACCCAAACTAGCGTTACCCATCGCTTTTCGACATCGAACAAGCCAGCGTAAGGCCTTTCGAACTCGATTTTAAGAGCCCAAACCTCCTCGGTGTCTACCAACTCCTAACCCAAGTAGTTTTAGTGTGAGTTATAGGTAACGACTCACCTAATCTCGGTTTCAAATGTATTTAAGTGTTTTTTTAGTTAGTTTCTAACTCAAGCTTGGTTGCCTTTGATTTAGGGAATCCTTCGGCGAGCTTGGTAGCGTCAGGGCCATTGTGTAAGTAGACAAGGGGCGTGTGCGTGTGTTAATGTGTGTCAGATGGCTTCTAATGTGCTGTTTTTGTGATGTTTGATATTATTTTTGATACGCTGTTGTGTTAGGTAGCTCCCGGTTGTGGAAATCTGTATACTTGATGTAGTGTTGAATATTCGTTGGTGATAATAGTGGAAATTTTGCCTTGTTAAACTGCTTAGAATGGTTATGTGATGATGTGTGTTTACAAAGGGTGCTCGTTAAATTAGAGTCATTGTGATTATGTTTTTCTTATGATGTGGGCGTGCTTGTATAGTTTATATACATGTTCATTTATGATATGAGCGTGCTGGTTGAGCATATATAAATGTTCTTTATGTTGCGAGCGTGCTGGTCTGAGTCATATTATTTTCTTATAAGATGTGGGTGTAATAGAAACATATTTTCGGACCCTATTCGCAGGCTAGGGTTGACGTGGAGTTGGTCATGATAGGGAACGTTGGATTTTTGGGGAAAATGAATGGGTGAGTGTCAGGGCCTCGGGTATAAATGGACGGGGGCTGATACGTCACTAATGGAGTATCGAGGCCTCGGGTAGAAATGGTCGAGGGTCGGTGCGAGGAGCCTTTTGAAAGGAAAACTATTGGGGCCTTGGGTAAAAATGGTCGAGGGTCGATAGATGGTGAATTCATCGGGGCCTTGGGTAAAAATGGTTGAGGGCCGATGCGGTAGTGTCGGGACTCTAGGTAAAAATGGTCAGGGGCCGACTCTACTCGAAGGAGTTAACTGTGGAGGGCTAGGATAGCTGTGATAAGCGTAGAGGTATTTGAGATGTTAGGGAGACTCGAGGTTGGTAGTTAATTTGTTCATGGTTGTGGTTGTCGCCGAATTTTATAGAGTGTGCCTATGTTTGATTGCATAATGTGATGAAGAGCATGACTATGAATGTTTTCATGATTTTGTTGAGCATGATGTGTGCGAGTGTTGGTGAGGGCTACTTACGAAGTATATTTATATACTCACCCCCCCTCTGCAATTATTGTTTCAGGTGAAGAATTTGTTGGCGACCATGGTGATGAGACGGAAGAGACATGACGAGCGAGGACCATAAGCTGCGTAGTTACTTTTGCTTAGCTTAAGGTTTAGATGGTTAAGACCCTATGTTTTGGTCGATAAACTATTTGATCTTATCTGAATAATTGGGAGGTTCCCACTTGTTGTTTATTTTATTTCAAGATAAGTGTTTATTTTAGTTTTCTTCCATTCATTGAGTTTTGCCTTGTTGGAATAATAATTTTGCCTCGTGAGGTTGTCCACGGATGATGTTGATTGATATTCTATAGAATTGATTCATTGTTAAATTGATGAGAGGTGAAGCTTTATTTTATACAATTATTGCACAGGGAGTTGACATCTCGTGTTTGGGGTTAAGCTTAAACAGTTGGGTAGTTAACGTGACCTAGAAGTGTGTGGGAAATTCTGGGTCGTTACATGAGGTGTACTAGGGGCTGAAAGTTGAGACGTGATTCCATGTTCTATCATATAGTCTTGGAATGTCAAGTCCATATACTCTCCACCCAAATCGGATCGAAGTAAATTAATGGTGTTACCTAATTGATTTTCAACTTCAGTCTTRTACTCCATGAACTTTTCAAGAGCTTCAGACTTATGTTTTATTAGGTATAGGTATAAATAACCATACCTTGAATAATCATCTATAAAAGAGATGAAGCATTCATACCCTCCTCGAGCTTTAACATTCATCGGACCACAAAGGTCTGAATGTATAAAAACTAAGTACTTTTTGGCTCTATAACCTTTTCCAATAAAAGGTCTTTTAGTCATCTTGCCTTCAAGATAGGATTCACATGGTGGTAAAAAGTCGTCTTCTAACTCACTTAGAAGACTATTCTTAACCAACCTCCCAATCTGATTGAGATTAATGTGACCTAATTTTAAGTGCCAAAGATAGGTATTTTCTTTGTGAGAAACTTTTTGCCTTTTATTTTAAGTTTTAGTATTATTAAACAGCTCGCTATTTAAAACTGCTTTAGTTATGGTTGGTCTTAGCACATACAAGATGTTTTCAAGCAAAGCAAAACAAATATTGACACCATTTCTTGAAATGAACGCTTCATTTAATTGAAAGGAAATGGAATACATACGTTCTATAAAACAAGAAATGGAAATTAAGGTCTTTTGATTTTTGGAACTACCTACACGTTATCTAATAATATATACAAATTCGTGCTTGTAAACAACTTGAGTTCCCCACCCGCAACAGCTGAGACGGTCTCTCCCATTCCGACCTTGAGAGTCATCTGTCTGGCTTCAAGCTACTTCCAGGAACCAATTCCCTGAAACGAAGAACAAACGTGATTAGTGGCTCCTGAATCTAATATCTAGGCGGAGTCATCATTCTCCAGTAAACATGTTTCCAAAACAAGTAAATCATATTTACCTTCGTTGGCTTTCTTCTTTTCGGCCAGGTACTTCGAGCAATTGCACTTCCAATGCCCATCCATGTTGCAGTGGAAACACTTTCATTTTTTTGCAACCTTAGCCTTGCCTTTCTTGGCAGCGGCAGTAGCGGAGTCAGGTCTCGGCCCCTTACCAGTGGCTTCTTCTTCTTAAATGTCTTACTTCTAGAAGAAGATGGAGCATACTTGGTTCTAGAGGACGAGCGTCGGTGGAACCTTTTTAAGGTGGTAACGTTTGCCTCCCCTTCATGTCCCTTATTTTTCATAAAAGACTAGTAAGTCTGTAGCTCATTTAAAAGCGTGGTAAGAATGTATTCTAGCTTATTCATAACCGCATTGCTGCGGAATTGCAGGAAACTCTTCTGAAGAGATTCCAGAATAAAGCTGACTGATTACGCTTGTTTACATGCGTAAAAAGAAGGTTTTAGATGCTGTTTTTACTATGTTTCAGCTTTGTTTCAGATTTTTCTCGGTCGTTTGAGTTCCAATTCATGCAAAATTCATATATTATGGTTTGTGGTTGGCTTATATTGTATTTATGACATTTTAGGACCATTTGGGAGTGGAAATTAATCAAAAGAAGCAAAAAGACGAAAAAACATCATGGGAGGCGCCAGGCGCCTGGGAAGCCTGCAGAAAAACTGGTTTTCTTCCAACTTTGCCCTTAATGAAACGCGTCTTCCAATGCGTTTTGGTGGTTCCAACCGATGCATACGTGTAGAAGAAGTGTTCCACTATCAGTTTTAGCACGATTTGGTCAGTCAAAAGAGTTGGAAATGGGTGATTCACCATCGTTTTAGGACCTACCTAACCAAGTCTGCACAACTATAAATTCCAGCAATTTCTCCACCAAATTCATCAAGCCTTGCTTCCTTCTCTTGATCATTTTTAGTGTTTCTTTGTTGCTTTCTAAGTACTTTTGAGTTGCTTTTGGTTTTTAAATCCCGAGTACTTTAGATTCCTTTATTGAGCTTTGTTTTGTTTCCATTCGTACTTAGTTATTTTCTACTTATTCAAATATATAAAAATCTAGCACTTTGCTTATCTTCCCTTTGCCTTTACTTTATTTTTAGTTAAGAGAGTTGTGTTTTTGGAGGAAAGAGCACGTGACACTCCCCCTTGCTTGAAAGAGAAGGGCGAAGCTCTCAACCTCGATAAAAACTCTCCGTTAGTTAACTTTTGTTTTTCACACATGCATTCCACATTCAACCATTTTACTTGCTGTATTTTCTTCAATATGTCTTTCTAAATTCCCGTCTCTAGCCCGGTTATGGATAGTTAGCCTTTTATGTCTAAAAAGGGTTGCTAAGAAGTAGTGTTTTT